AAGCAGGAAAACCTCATCACCTGTTATTAATTTTATACGTTTCACTAGCTCGGTCCAGAATTTTCTTATAAACTTGCAACCCCACCAACAATGAATAAAAGTACCCCTTTCTCCACACTTCTTCCAACAAGTATAGCTTGGCAAGTCAAGTTAACATGATGTACTCATGCTGGCGTCACATACCAATATGTCAAAACTTTTATAGATTGCACTCTGATATTCCCAACCTGTATTTTGATTATACTGTAGCTAATACTAGGATTGCCAAGTGCCAGCCTCATGATGGAGCCTGGGGATATCCAAGAATTACAGCTTATCTCTAGACTACAGTTGTCCTGGAGAAAATGGCTGGGTTGGAGTATGGCATTATACTTTGCTTAAGTCCCTCCCATTCCCCAAACTCTGGCCTGCCTAGGGTCCAATCCCTTATCTCCAGGAATTTTGTAACCAAGAGATGACAACCCTGTTTCTTAGCTTCCCACAGCCTAAGCAGAATAAGTTCCAGAGTTTAACAACCAGTGTGTGCCCCTCTTGACAATCACGCAAAACCAGTCCACTTCTGCCTGGAGAGACTAAGAGAGCACAGCTAGATATGATGGTATACCCAAATCCAACCCACAGATGCTGCCACCATTTTAAAGCTTAATGAGGCAATGAAAATGCCATGAGGGCCTGATTCGGATTGGCCCCACAGTGCAGCAAGACGAGGCACTCTTATTCTCCCCTGCATGCCTTTTCCAGTGCTAAAATGTCCTTGGGGGCAACCAATTCAGTGCTTAAAAAGGTGCAGGGGCAGAATTGAGTTGATCTCATCCCACCACACTGTAAGTCTGATCAGGGTTGGGTCCTCGTGACATTTTAAAATTGCCTCATTGGGCTTTAAGATGGTGCCAACATCCCTGGGACAGAAATTTAGTTTTCTTACAGACTAAACAATTTTCGCCAGATGTTGTAACTAATTGCCTGAAAGAATGAGATGTTGTCTAGGAAGAGTTAAGTTATAGGAGAATGGTCCCAGATCCATGGGAACAAAAGAAACTAGATCCAGAAGTTTCCTTGAAACAAAACCAGCCCACAAAGTAGAATAGACCCCTTTCTTCCAAACGGCTGTTGCTAGAGGACTTCCAGTTTCAGCATGTTGATGGTGGGCGCACTCCTCCGAAGCTCCGGAGAGAGCAGCCCATGACCCACTGGCAGGGAGGGAGTCTGGCTGGTTCTGGACTCTCCCCGGAGCCCTTGTAGAGGGCTCTCAGTCTGGGGCACTGGAGGTGCCTCTCCCAAGGCCAAGGCCACCCCAGTCCCTATAGGTTCCGCCACCATGGTACCATTCTGGGCATGAGACGAGCATACCGGACCAGCGAGCAATAGACCGGGTGAAAACAAAAAGACTTTCTCTTACCTGATGAAGCAGATTGTGAGTAAGATGCTAGCCCAGGTGCCTCCAAGAAAAAGTGTGTGTGTGGGGGGCTAACAAGATTTAAAAGCATTACAAAGGAGGCAGAAAGTGGCAGCATTTAAGCAGATTGCTGATTTCAACTAGCACAATGCCAGACTGTTAAAGGCATTAGAGCTAATAAACACCTAAAGACTTAAGTGAACTTCTTCCAAAACATAAACAATGTCTTATTGTGCTGAAAAGATGATGGCGAAAGTGAAGATTCAACAAGAAACTGCTAGCTCAGCACATCCAATCTCCAAACTGGAAGTTAACTTTGACTTTCCAGGCATGCTGGATATTGCATTGTGACCTCTGGTGGCACAGATGGCTAACATCAACAAGACCTTGGAGTATTTGCAAAAACAGCTAAAAGAGTCTAATAAAAGAACTGAAGAAGTGGCAAATAAGACAAAAGCAATTGATCAAAGACTGGAAGTTGTGGAAAAAGAAAGATCTTCTGATAAAACTCAACTTTTGCAGCTACAAATGAAAAAATCTTCATGTGTGTTGAGATTTCAGGGTGTACCTGAAGACAAACCTGAGATTCTGAAAGAAATCCTTAGTGAAGCGCTTGCACCAGTGACAGGCATCAAGGCAGAAATACTACAAAGCAAAATGGATATGACCTATCGGACATATTCAGAATTTATCAAGAAAAAAACCCTGCCTGAAATATATGTCAGATTGAAAAAAACCCTGCCTGGTGAAATATATGTCAAATTCTCCAAGAGATCTATAAGAGATGCAATATTGAAAGCAACTTCCGGGACTACACTGAAAATCAAAGAAGAAGAGATTAGAATCCTAAAAGATATTCTATTTGAGATAAGGAAGAAGAGAAAATAATACAAGAATTTAACCACTTATCTACAGGAAAAGTCCACTACCTACAGATGGATATTCCCTGAAGGCTTGATCTTCAATTATAAAGGCAAAAAAGAAAAGATTTGCTATCTTATTAAATTGAAGCAGTTTTTGGACAGACATCAAGATTTTAAAAAAGATGAAAAGAACACAGAGGAAGAAGAAGAAGGAGAATTGGACAGTTATGGCTTGGGAAGTCATGAAAATCTACAGATGGCAGCTCAGAAGTAGAATCCAAATCAGAATTGGAAGAGGTAGCACCCAAACCACCTTGAGACTATAAAAACAAGAAGAAAGGAAAGAAAGGCAAAAAATAGCTTAAATCTAAGTAGAAATGTTTATATTAAAAAGTCTTGCATTGTCAATTTTAACATTATCCTCCATATAATAACAGAATGAGACTTATATTTTTAACAAGAAGAAGAGGAAAACTTTGACTTAATATAACAATAATTATGATATATGGTCTTTGTGTAGCTGTATTTTAGTTAGTTTGTAGTATGTTAGGTTTGTAGTATGTAGAAAATGTTATATATATATAAACTGCTGTTGCTAGAGAAGATTATTCAAGGAATGGAGAGCTTCTCCTAAGGCAGTAAAATACAAGTTATCTGCTGAAAAAAAAACCCTTCATCTTTGTACCATCTTTTGAAGATCTGGCAAGAACCAGTCTATACCTCCAGAGCTTCCTTTACCTAGCTGCTGAGAAGGATCAGCATATGACTCTCCTGTTCAGATTGGCATGTTGAGCCTCCTTCCCTCCAATGGGGCAAACAGCTCCCCCTTTCGGGTTGAGAAGACAGTGCAGGGGAAAGGTTGAAGCCCCATCTCCCCCACACACACACACCATGATCTTCCATAATGAAGTTCAATAGCTGAAAACAGATATTTGATCTCACCACAGCTCCTTCCTGTTTATGTGTTTTTAAAAATTATGCGTGTATTTTTTTAAAGCTGGTTTTAATGTTTGTGATTGTTTTCCACCTTGGGGATTCAAAGCCAGGTAGAAAGGCAGCATAAAAATGTTTTAAATGAATAAAACCAATAAAACTATCATTTTTTAAAAAAACTTGTTTTGGGGCTTTAATGCTGTCCCTTCATGCATTTATTGGTAAGAGAAATTTCAGCTTGTAAGAAAACTTTCAGTTCTAAATACAGATGATTCTTCATAGGAGATTATCAGGTCCTAGAACGAGGAGTTTCTGGAAATGGTAGCTGGCTTGGTGCCGTAATAAAGAAAGAATTGAATTGGTAGCAGTACAGTTCCCAGCTGTTTCCATTGGAGTGGATAGGCAAGGAGCTTTCAAATGGAGCCAGTTTGGCATCTATAACACCAAATCTGCTATTCTCATTATTTTGTTATTTATAGTCCACCTTTTTCACTGTGACTCAAGATGGACCACATAGTGTAAATTAACACAACCAACAGGATGGGACAGCCAATAAGCAATGAAACAGGACTGCAGAAATCTGAAACAGAACCGCATGGCATATGCTAGTAGGGCTGGTTGAACAGCCACCAATTTGGCTCATACTTGCCTGCCAGTTGCAAGCTGAGAGCTGATTTTTCATGGAGCAGTTCATGATCCAGCTTTGCCTGTTTGCTTGCTCAGTTACTTTCCACTTATACAGACCTGTCATCCCTTTGTACTATTCAACAGCTAATGGTTTAAATTAAAAGTAAGCAAATAGTCAGCCGGTGATTATTTATGAAACTGTAGATATTTTTTCCTAAGTCTTACCATTTGGTGTTCATCTAAGCCCATGTTATGAACATTATTTTGCACATCTTTTTATATAGCCTTAGGGGAGTCACTTAATTTTCCCCATGTCAACAGCAAGAGCTATGGGATTGTTACAGTGTAAAGCTAATCCCAAGTGATTGCCCAGTTGAGTATTCTAAGACTTTTATGCACAGTTCGAAAGAAAGAAATTGCAAGTAGATAAATAGGTACTGCTTCGGTGGGAAGGTAAATAGGTACCGCCTCAGCATCTAGTCATGCCTGCCACATGACCATGGAAACATCTTCGGACAGCGCTGGCTCTTCTGCTTGGAAACGGAGATGAGCACCGCACCCCTAGAGTCGGATTCGACTGGCTTTCGAGCGAGGGAAACCTTTACATTACCTTTACATCCACTGAGCATTCCTTTGATCCGAAAATAGACTTGGTTTTTGCTGAAAGATTGCAGCCCTAATGTCAGTGAAGACGAACATGGCTCCATGGAGACTTACCTCCAAGTAATGGACTGGAAAGATGAGATTTGCTTAGAGGTCATCATTCCAGTTATCATTTTTCCCACGAAAGGAGGGTAATTTAAGGAGCAATCCCAAGCAGATCTAGTCAGAAATAGGTTTCACTTTATTCCATAGGGCTTACTCCCTGGAAAAGGTTCTTAGCAGTTCAGCCATACAGCACTAAAACTTTCTCTTTGCTTAATAAAGATGTTCTATTTTTATTGATTTTTAGGTAAGCAATTTAGACATCCTTGTTTAAAATATAAAAATGCTTATTCTATTCAGGCATTCACTCCCTATACACACATTATAATGGCCAAAAGTGCATTCATGGCACATGAAGCTTATACTGCCTTATACTGAATCAAACCACGGTCAGTATTGCCTGCTCAGACTGGCAGCAGCTCTCCAGGGTCTTAGGCTGAGACCTTTCACATCACTTGCTGCTTGGTCCTCTTAACTGGTGATGTCTGGGTTTGAACCAGGGACCTTCTGCATGGAAAGCAGATGCTCTACCACTGAGCAACAACCCCTACTGGTTGCTCTCCATGTTGTACTGAATATATCTTTGACACTTCCCCAGTAGATATAATGCAGCACAATCCTGAATGCGTCTACTCAGAAGTAAGGTCCCTGACATTAAATGGTGCTTAATCTCAGGTACATAGGATTATTCTCAGTCACATGTTGACTGGCACACCTGCATATACAAATGTGTACTGATAATTCACCACAAGAAAGCAATGTCATATTCATTTCCTGGTGATCATCACCTCCACATTATATCTGCAGACATACATGGACCAAAGGGGAAAAGGCGTTCAGCAATGTCAGGGCCCACTTGAATCTCCTGTCCGTGAGCAGAAATTGACACTGATGAAGATATAGTGTCCAAAGAAATGAAAACATCTCATGCAGTGCAACAAATGAAGTTTCAGGATTTGTTCTACTCAGCCTTCCGTGATATTTAGACATCTGGCTTTCCAAATCAAGCAATGAACACAGTCATTAGTCATTACATCTTTGTGAATGTCAAAACTCTCATCAGGGTTCAGCGTGTTCAAGACAAATTCAGCATTAGTGAGTTGGCTAAGGAAATGTGACATATTGTGCAGCAGCACGCGCATTTTGTGGACAACAGGAGTTTGAAGAGTAACATTTATAAATCACCTGCTGGCCGGTTGATATGCAGATAGTGTAAAGAGCTACTTTTTTGTGTGATCGGTAGCCTGAGTAGTCTAGCTTTCTCCCAGAAAAAAATTATCTTATGTTTTTATTATCTTGAATCCTACAGTCTTTGAGGCAACTTACAAAGTATGAAATATTGTATATGCTATTAGAATGGAAATATGCATTAAATCAAGCAATTGAAAATACAGAATCAAAACGCTTGGGTGAATAAATAAGTTTTCACCTGGTATTGAAAATATAACAAGCCTGACATGATCTATATACCAATAGCGAAGCCGCCCCCTGTGTGCGGATATATAAATCTGCACATCGGAGGCACCTGGGGGGCAGGGAGATTTTCCTGCACATGTGGGCAATGCCCAGGTGTGCAGAAAAATATGAAAAGTTGGAAAAAATATTTAAATTACCTAAAAAGTAAAAATTAAAAGAGTGTTCCCTGTACACGCGC